GTGTTTTCAAAAATTTCCCACAGATTCGCAATACAGTTTATGTCTCAACTTTGATTAGACCACAATAAAAATATGTATTCTTTGATTTTAATCACTCCACTATACCAAATAAGACGACATACCATTTTTTTTTACTGTCTGAAGTTTAATCAGATCGAGTTTTAGATTAGTTAGAATTACCAAAATAATTTCTATTTCTAAAGAAAACTTAGTGAAACATTTTTTTCTTACACTTAGAAGACAGTTATCCCTGTTACTGACTAACTTTTCTGCATTCAAAGAAAATTACAAAACATATATAAAAACGTTCTTGCTACGTTATCTGGCATTTAGCAATAAAAATAATGTTGGTAATTCTTTCTGTTGATCTAACACCTACAATCCATGAAAGTTTGTGTAGGTTGTGGCTAGAAAAAAAACAAAAAAAAAAAACAAAAGTTCAAAAGGTATACTTTCCAAAGTTGCTGTATACTTATCTCTGAATAACAAAATAAGCAACCAGAGACAACATCTGCTTTCTGTCCAAACACTCAATTATTTGTATAAATGGGGTGTATTAACTCATATACCTAAAGTCAGTTGGATGTCTGGTTGTTTTGTGGAAAATCGTATGCAGGCAGCCAGCCAAGTGCCTGAAAATGTTTGCAGATATGTTATTTTCTATGTCCCCAAATATTTCCTCTTTCTCTGTGTCTGGAAAAGGAAATTGTCTACTCCTGAATCAAATTAAAGAGCTGCTTGGGAAAAGCTTAGCTACTAAGTGCCCTGTTGTGTGTAAAATTGTGTTAGGACTTGCAACCAGAGAGGAATGGTATGTTTTAATTATGCATTTGTTTTTTTTTGTTTTTTTTCCTCCTATATAAGTTTCAGAAAGAATTTAGATCAGTTGTTTCCTTTTTAACTCCTTGTGATTAAATGATAGAAGTAAAAGAGTGCTCTCGAATTATATTTATTATGGTCCTCTGTGGTTACTAGTGCAACAATTTCCATGTCAAAACAGGAGGAGCCCCAGATGCACCCACTGATCTCGTGACATCAGAGGTGACTCACCAGTCCTTCAGAGCCACCTGGACCGCCCCTGACGGCCCAGTGGAAAAATATCGAGTGGAGTACATGACTGTGTCAGGATCCCCACAACAGGTAGCCCATATTTAATATGCTGCTGTCTTCCAAAAATGCCATACCTGCCAATTATTGAGTTCATGCTAAAACTGCAGTCAGCTGCTGGGTGCTGATTGGATGTTGGCTTAAAGCTCTTCTGACAAACAGCTTCTGATACTAGTGGGAAACTTCACTCAAGCAGCCTCCTGTTTGTGTTGGCCTCTATGTCAGTATCTAATTACATTACAGTCTGCTAGAAGGCAAGGGAACACAAACACACAGCTCTCAGTGTAGAGGATTAGAAAGCAAATGTCTCCCTGAGCAGCAGCTTCACTGGCCAGCAGAGGCCTGCCACCACCGTTTGTGAAACTGATGGGACATTGGTTTCTGAATCTAATCACAATGCTTGAGCTGTTTTCTTCTCTTCAGTTCTCAGTGCTTTGTTTGATGCTGAATCTTGTGATAAGTTTTTATTGTCGTTTACGGACTGAGAAATGGGACATCCACGTTTGGGTTGGATTCATATTGAAAACAATGTTCTGCTTTCAACTCTGGATACTTTTGTCTCATGTTGGTGTCGATTTAAAGTAGATAAACAACTTCCAACACTTCACAAAACTATTGAACACAACGTGGCATATTTTAGCTTGCACATCCATCTGTTCAGTTTCATGCAAGTATAAACTGCATGGGAATGGCCAGTAAACAAATTGTTTAGGACGGAGATGGGTTCTGTGTTGACGAATGTGTTTTGGTACATATGGTTTTTATTAACCCTAAGAGCCATTGTGGAGATGTTTTGTGAAGTCTTTTACCAACATGTGCTCAGAGGCTATTTAGCAAGTTAAAGCAAGAGCACAAATGAATTATTCAAATGAGCGATGAGCCTGACCACGCTGTCAAATTACGCACAGAGTGGCTTAAAAAGAACAATGTGCTTTGGAGTGGCCATCACGCAGCCCTTACATCAAGGAGCTTTTGTGAGCATGAAAGCTCACAAATCTGACTCAGTTATACCATTTCTGTCAGGGGTAATTATGGATGCACCGATATAAAAATTTGGGCCGATATTGATATCTCACACTGATATTGCTGTTATGCTTGATAACCAATATTTACTGATATCACGTATATAACATATATTTTCATACCCCTTCAACACCGTGAAAAAATGACCACACCACCTATATTGATTCTTTGCTTCAGTTAAACACCCCGCAATCCTGCACCACGTCACTGTAAGTGTGGAACTAATACCACATAGCCAACACTTGTTGCATCAATATCGATATGTCAAAACATGCCTAACATTGGCTTTGATTAAAAACATTTTATTTAAAAAAAAATAAATGGTGGAATTATTTATACTGTTGAGATAAATGTTAAATTCTGACTTTGAATAAACTAGCATTGCTTCAGTAATCTGTAATTTAGTAACTACAGATTCTTTTTGGTAATTCTTACTAACCTAAATCAAGAGAATTGTTGCTTGATTTAATGTCCCACAAGACCAAAACGGTTCTTGTGTCATATTTGGTTTCAACTGAAGCTGTCCACAAATGGTAAACTAAATTCTTCAAATGAAATAAAAGTAAACTCTTACAGACCACCTAACTCTGTGTACTTTTATTAGGTGTTTGTCGACGGCAGTAAGACCACCGTGGTTCTCCAAGGCCTCACACCTCTGACACAGTACCTGGTCAATGTCTACTCAGTTGTGGGAGAAGACAGCAGCGACCCACTGAAGGGAGTTGAGACCACATGTAAGTCTCCTTTTTTTAAAGTCACCCATTAATTGCTCCAGTGAAATGAAATGATATAAACATGGTTAAAAAACTGAAGATTTCTATAGAAAAAATCTAAAATCTTTCAGTGGCTCAGAATTAGGAATGAAAAAAATACTCAAAAGTGCAACACCGTTGCTCAAGTTTGGCTCAGAGTCAGACTCACAGCAATTTTATGCATTCGGGAAATGTGAATCCAGTGCATTCTCCATTAATGAAATGTTCAAAGGTGACATTTATATCTTGCTCCATGAAGAGATGAAAACAGTAATAAATCTCAATTAGATGGAAGTTTAAAAAGAATTTACTGGATTATGTTAGTTTTCAAGAGAAATTTGGGGCTTTTGTGCCTGTTCGTTTTAGGATTCTATTTGATGTTTTATTGGTGCTTTCTAGAATGACAGGTGTTAAAGAATATATTTAAAGCTACACATAAAAATGTGTTGTTGTTTTTTTAAATAGAAGGGGGCATACAAAAACATTAAAGCATATTGTGGATTTTTATCACACATAGATTAAACCATCTGCAAATGCAGAGTGTACGTAAATGCAAGTATTGTCTGCGTGGATGCATAAACAAAGTGGTTTCATTCTTTACGCTTTTTTGTTTCTTCTACAGTGCCTCTGAGTGCTGTGAGGAGGATGAACATTTACGATGAGCAGACAACCACCATGCGAGTCAGGTGGGAAGAGGTGCAGGGTGCCACTGGGTACATGCTGCTCTACAGCGCCATCAATGCCACTCAACCCAGCATTGAGCAGGAGGTAACACAGACACTACACTAAGAATGCATCCTGTTGGCACCAGAAAAAAAAAATAGCAGCCATATTTTAAGTGTTACCAAACTGAAAAAAAAATGTGAAGACAATTTAAATGGCAACAACAAATCACATTTATTACAAATAAAACTCAACTGAGAGAGTAATCACTTTGTGCAAGCCAGTGTTATTTTTTTTTTCCATCGCATTGTTAAGCTGACAAGAAAACATAGAGGGACATTGTTCGTCACAAAGGGGAGGATTAACTGTGAGCTCACCCTGCAAAGGGAGCATCAGGATTTGTTCATGAAGTGTCAAACCCAGTGGGTGAAAACCAGATTCAACAGATGTCTTTAAAAGCTTAAGACTTTTCTCACTAGCCCCATGCACATCTGCGTCTTTTAGAGTCATTCACTTCCTCTCTGACCTTTCCGTTGTTTGTTTGGTTTGGTTGCCTTGTAGCTGAGAGTTGGAGCAGGTACAACTGATGTCCAGCTGGTGAAGTTACTCCCCAACACAGCCTACACACTCTCCCTCTTTGCCCTCTACGGAGAAACAGCCAGTCAACCACTGACCCAGCAGGGTGTCACCCGTATGTAGTTACTCTTGCACCAGAATAATTGAATTATTTTGAAGAATTTAAGGTTGCGATACTGTTAGCGATGTTAAACTGACCTCAGGGGTTTTTTTTTTTTTTTTTTTTGTTCAGTGCCCATGCCGCCTGCAGGTGAACTGAGAGTTCGTGATGTGACCCACAGCACCATGGTGCTGTACTGGGATGCTGCTCCTGGAGCTGTTCGTAAATATATCATCACCTACCAGGCTGAAGAAGGAGAGGCTAAAGAAGTGGGTTTGTTTCCAGTTTTGTCAGATTTACTTTAAATAGAAGCAATAAAACAGAAGCAAAATCTACTTTTTTACAGTTATTTCCCCAAGGAAAAAAAGAGAAAATATTGGTATCTATATAACACAACACAAAACTGTTCTGAGACTTTCAGTCGGAGGGCTGTACAATATAAATATATTATCCAGTCAATTAGTGTACAGTCTCTAGGCAGGATTACCACAGCCTGGATGGATATGCATACATGTACATATTTAGATTTTTAACCAGTGAGTGTTTCTTTATGACTGCAGAGTTATCTCATTTCTAAAATTAGCTTTTAGAAACTCCTAGACAAACATTCACTTAAGTTGCTATAATATATTTTTTTGCTTTCATTAATACTTCACATACTCAGTTACCCAGAGAAGAAAAGCTTTACATGTACAAGTTTCACCAGGAAGATGGTTTATGGATCACCAGTTCCTGCCTCAATTTCCTGCGTAAATAATAACAACTTCTACAACTTCTCCCTGTTAGCAGAGGTTGTTGTGAATGCTAAGACTAGTTAACATGGCCACTGGTGAGTGCTTTTCCTGTAACAGTGTCCATAAGCACATTTAGCAGCCCATTCATGAGGATGATTGACAGCGTTAAGACGCTCCTCCTGGCTCTGATTGGTTGTTTTTGGTCGGGAGTGATTCATTTCTGTAGATGGCAATAGCAGCACAGCTTGATAAAAACCTTGATCTTTTTACAGATTATCTGTTTCATATTATACTGTAACCACATGGTGATAGTTTTAAAAAATATGTAAAAAACTTTGTTGTTTGCTTTAACTACTTTTAAACCTTTACCAAAAGCTTATTTGATACTTACCTTTAAGTAGCATTTTATGCCTTTAATGCTTCTCTTTGACTATTTTTAACACTTGATATTACAAATGCACATGAGGGATTTTGTGGGATTTCATGTGTCTGTAAACCACTGCAAAATAAAATCACTTATTGATTTATTTCAATCTCTTATTGAGCAATCAGTGCCTCCTTAGAGAAAACAGTGTTTGTGGTTCCTGTCCTTCTTTATTTCTGTCTCAATAAAAACCTAAGCAAGATGTTTTACCAGTAACATACTCTCGTTGCATTGCTTGTCATCTGTTAGGGCTATTAGGCTCAAAGGTGATGAATTTATTTAGATTGTTTTGTACGGATACTTTATTATTCTGGCTTAGCCACTGTAATGGAGTCAGCAGATGGTTGTTCGGACATTTGGGAATTTTCTGTGGTCCAGCGAAAGGATTATGAAAATATCAGAATTCGATTTTGCAGGAATTAACATTTGGTTATCGTAGACAAATAGTTTATGGTTACATATCTCCTTGTGGGAGTTCTTGGGCAAGAGCAGCAAAACCTTTGGTCTGCATTTTGCTTCATCCTCAGCCATAAATCAGATGGAGGTGATCCTTGAAGCTCCAGTGGTAAAAGCGCACATGTGAAAGTGGCTGCAAAGGTTGAGGATGTGTGTCATAGAAGCCAGTGACAGGGTGCCACTCACAAAACAAACGGCAGGCCAAATTGTCCCCTCATAAAGCCTTTAGCATTCTTTTTATGGTCCTGAGAGACAATCCTAGTTCCAGTTCAGGCAAACATATAGCTGCTTTAATGGATATCAGTTTCTGTATAGCTAGTTATATACACTGAAGATGATACATTGGAAGTTAAGTCTTTTTGAGTGCTACTTTGAAACCTGGAAGTATTTATTTTATTAGCCTAGTAAAGACCAGTGCATGTTCTCTAGCTTGACAACCCTGGTGTAGGTTATATCATGACATTTTTGTTGTCATGATATAACAACAAAAATGTTGTTATATCAGGTTTCTGGGAAAATTATGAGTTTCGCAGAAGCCCATAATTTTGTTTCTGGGAAACAAAATGATGGGTTTTTATTTACTTTAAGAGATCTTCCAAATTAGCAGAAATAAATGCTTGAAATTTATCATTATGAGGAATGAGTCCATATTTTATATGTGTTTTACTTTGTAATATTGAATAATTAGCAGAAATAAATGCTTGAAATTTATCATTATGAGGAGTGAGTCCATATTTTATATGTGTTTTACTTTGTAATATTGAATAATTTAACTTTTTGATACTATTATAATTTATTGAGATGCACTTGTATTTACCCATCCTGTGTGTTTTTCTTAGCTTGAAGTGGGAGGAAGAGTGATAGAGAAACAACTGGAGAACCTGCTCTCACAGACTGAGTACACTTTAGCCGTCACGCCAATTTATGACGAGGGAGCTGGGCAGCCGATGACTGGATCTGCAATCACAGGTATGAACGATAACCATTCTGTCATTGAGAACATTGTGTTAGTAGAACAGATTCCAGATGTAATAAAACTGTATAAATTTCTTTTTTTTTTTTTTTTTCCTTTGAAGATGTGGTTCCAGCACCAAAGAACCTGGAGTTCTCGGAAGTTACCCAGACCAGCTTCAGAGCAACCTGGGAGCACGGGGCTCCTGATGTTGCTCTGTACCGTATTTCATGGTCTAAGAAAGGAGAAAACGTATTCCTAGATGTAAGAAATTCTTGAGCTGAATTTCATTTTCCAAGCTTTCGTTCTTTGACTCTGGCTCGGAGATTGTCTTCATGCAGATTTTGAATATTTTTCTGATCAGGCCATTCTGAACAACGATGAGACAACCCACGTCATAGAGAACTTGGAGCCAGACACACCATATGACGTGCGTGTGACTGCAATTTACCCAGATGAGTCAGAGAGCGAAGATCTGATCGGCACTGAGAGGACATGTAAGATACTTAAATTGCGTACAATTATTACATTTTTACTTGACTAACTAATTTCTTCCTTGGACTTTGATCAAAGGTTAGAAAAAAACATAAGTTTTTTGTATTTCCATCAAGAAATAAGCCTATAAAAATAGACATCATGCCTTTCTATTTCTGCCTCTGTAGTGCCCAAGGATGGTACTAGACCATGTAAGTATGTTTGCGGTAAAACAAAAGGATGCTTTTTCTCCGTTCCAAAAGCATGTTTTATTACTTCATCCAGTCATCAGAATCATTTTTCATTGGACTACTTTCATTTCATCATCAAGGCCAGTCCATAACCCATCCGCTGCTCCAACCGTGCTGCAGCTGTGTCAGTGCGGTCTTACTGTTTTTGTCTGTCTTTGTGTTTTACCAAACGACCATGCTTCACTTCCATGACTTGGTCGGGTTCAGTGGCTGAAGATGGATTTCCACCATGCATGTCTGGCATAGTAGAGATTTTGACCCTTGTTTTTTATGTCCATTTCATCACTCATCCCCTTCCCATCCATCCATCTATCTATTCATCCATCAATTCATCTCTCCATTTATTAATTGCATTATGAGTTAATCTGTCATCATCATCATCATCATCCTCATCATTATCATCATCATTCCATTGGCGCTGAAAAGGATCCATCCCTTCTTGAGAAAAGACAAATCCCTGAGGAATGTCTTTTCCTCTTTAAAGTTGCAGTCCTTCTTAGTTAACAGCTACTTAGTAATATCCCAGGATTGATTTACTAAAATAAAAGATTTTAATGACAAATGATTCATTAACTAGAAAGAACTGAAAATGTTGAACATGCCCTTGAAACACTATGAAGGACTATGACTTTAAATGTATAAGACTAAACATATGGCTACTGCTTTTACTGGAGGTGCATTTCATTACATTAGAATTTCATCGAAAACAAAAAAAAAAAACTGGTTTATTGAAAACCAGTTTTTAATAAACCAGTTCAAGTGTGACCAGTGGATGTCACATTATATAGATTCATTGCACACAGAGGGAGATTTTGCAAACATTTGTTTCTGAAAGTTAAGGCAAAAATGAAGCTGTCCGAAATTGAAAGTTAAGTAGGAAGACAAAGTGTGGTTGAAAAAGGTTTCACAAGAAATAATAATGGCTATAATCTCCAGCGGGTTGTGAAGCAAAACCCAAGTTTATTGAGAAATTAACTGTAGTCAGTATTTCCATAGACATAAATATATGTATCTAAGTCATGAGCTGCAATTGTTGCATCCTTTGTGTTAAACCACTCCTGAACCAGAGACTATAAATGAAGCCTCTTATCTTGCCAAAGGAGAAAAGTAAAAGTAATTTTGTGTACATCAAGACTCCACTAATAAAACACCTTGGGCTTCCCAAGTACCTCAGCAGAGCAAGAGACCCGACAAAGTATTAAATTAAATTACTTTAGAGAACAGCAACATACTTTCAGAAAACCAACATTTCTGCATTGACAGCCTCTTTGTGTATTAGTCTTACATCATTTTTAATAATCGTTTGTCTTTTTATTAGCTGCAAGCAAAATTCACAGAAATAAACTCTTGAAACATGTCCCTTTGTGTATAATGAATCAATACAAGTGTCATTTTTTTATTATTATTATTGCTTAACTCTTTGATGACATTGTAATTTACTGAGATACACTTGTATTTATAACAGATGTTGATGTGGCTGTAACAGTGATAAATGTGGGTGCTTGTATGCTTTTCAGTGCCAAGAGCACCTCCCACCAACTTAGTTGTGTACAATGAAACCACCACCACTCTGAACGCCAGGTGGACTCCACCTACGGGCCGTGTCCAGAACTACAAGATCACTTACGTCCCCACGGCTGGAGGCAGGAGTCAGACTGTAAGTCCTGACGCTATCGCTGATTCAGTACAAGGTATTTTTAAAAAGTAGAGTTAAAGGGCTGCTTCAAAAACCTGCAGATTATAGAGAGTGACACACCACAATAGAGGTCTCAATAATTTATTCACTTTGAGGCAAACTTTGTGTAGATTTTCCTCTCCATATGTCATTTTTTTAATCATCATTGCTAATCTTAAACTTTAAATGTAGTAGGTTTATCTATCATAGCTGTGTTTCTTTTTCTTATTGGATCTTGGTTTTGCTTTCATAAGTCATCCAACAGACTTTTCTCATGCCTTTTAGATTCCGTAAAAATTGTTTCTGTCTCACAAGTGTTGGCACAAAATGCAAAATCTGTAAATCCACAACTCTGCTTATGGTATTCATTATTTGGTTCATTGTGATTCAAATCACTTTCTGTCTCATACTACCCACCATTGAAGGTCTTTCTCTGATTATGCAATTATTGGCAACTTTCCAAAAAGTACAAAAGTCTTTTTGGATTGCAGATGCAGATTTGGTTTCAATTTACTGTCACAATTGTCACTACTTTCAAAAGCAAGACTTCAAAACAGAAACAAAAAAAAATAAAAATAAACTTTGGTTGCATGCATGCTCACACGCTACTCACAGACTGACAGTAAAATGAATTAGATGTGAAGCAAACTAAGCCTAGTGCCGAATATTCCATCCAACTTTGATTAAAATGTCTCTCCTCCACCACTTCACCTCAGTTGAATGGAAAACTTGGATAATACAGTTACGCTTTCAAATTATCTGTTAAGGTTAAGCAAATACAGTCCCTACAATTTACACAGTACGAGTTTTGCGAGAAGAAAGCTGCACTCAAAATTTAGTAGACTTCATGACAACTTAAACTTTCTGCCAAAATTTCTCGTATTGCACCCAAGCTTGTCAACATTTTATGAGCATCCCACTTTTACCTAGTGTTTGCTTTGGGACAACTGTGAAATTTAGTGATATGTAACTTTTACAATGTCTTCTATTATTATTTTCCATACTAAATCTAGAGATTAAAGCAGTATATTATAACCGTAGTCTATGAGTGAGCCCAAGTTGATAAAAAAAAAAAAAAAAAGATCTGCTTGTTCATTTGATCACAAATCACAAAGTAGATTAAAGTGTTCCAGCTGCAGCCGCGCTGACCATGAACTCGTTTCCACCATCCCGGCTCGGCTCTGTAGCAGGGTGACGCCCCGCCTCCAGGCGCCATGTGCTGTGCTTCATTGCTGATCAGATGAATATTTATCAGGGCAGACAGAGCATCTGCATGGCCTCTCATTAGACTAAATAATTGTATTATTGGGTCAGTGAAACAATTTCTAAGTAGCATTTATGTTGATTGCAGTGGGAATTATCTGTCTTAAAGTTGGGATGCTACTAATGTGAAGTTTTTTCGGCAGTCATGTGTGATCTGTTTTAGCTGGTGAGCAAAATGTGGATACTACTATCAAAGGCTTTGCTGAAGTGTTATTTTTGTCACACTGCATTTTCTAGCACAATTGAAACATAGTGCAATATTATCATAAAATGAGCACCAATAGCTTAAAGTAATCTATTTTCTTGAGTTTCTTTTCAACTGCTAACATATACCTTCCTACAAAGGTATATGTTGATTAAATAACTAAAATATGGGTCAGTCTTGTTTTTGTAAACGAAGCCCATGCTGTCCTGTTATTTATTTATTTATTTATTTATTTATTTAAAGTCATTGCTCTCAGTTTTATGCAGTTTTGCTAACAGATTTTTATTTTTCAAATGTTTTAAACTTTATGTTTTTTTTTTTTGTTGTTTTTTTTTCTGGCAACCACTCTGAACAAGTAAAACTGTGAAATTCTTGAATGTTTAAACAACATGAACAACATGAACAACATAATGAAAATGAGAAAACCTTTTCCTCGTTAAGCCCTGAATTTTCTTTTTTTTAGTGGTTCCATTTAATCATAAAAAAAAAACCTCTCTGAACTGATGTCTCTCGGGCATTAGTAAATTCTTGTCATTTGACAAGCTGACCAATAAGGTTCAACCACATGATTTTTATGATGCTGTTTTTATCCTTGATTTTAGTTGTTAATGAAAAGTACGGTACAAATTAAATTTATTATTATTATTATTATTATTATTATTATTATTATTAAGGACCAAAAAGCAAGACCAGCAAAGGATTTCTATCCAAGAATATCATATTTTTTATAGTCCTTGCTTTACTATGCAAAATGTTTATATTTACATGCATTATTATTTACATCATGTGCAATCGTAATGCTGGTGTAATTTGCCTAGGGTTTATCATACTTCAAATCATATCAAAAGTTCTGCACACACACATGGCTCTCCAAAGGCTTTCCAATGGTTTGCTTTTTTTTTTCTTTCTTTTTACTAACTACATTTATGACAGCAGGCAGAGGAAATGGTTTTGCTTTTGTACCAAACAACTTATAATTAAACAGGTCATCTAGATTTTATCACACTTAGAGGCAGATAAACATTTGGAAGCTCTCACTTTGGGCTCAGCATAATCCACTTGATTCACTGTCTGGATTCTAAGATTTGAAGCAGTCCCAAAGAGTTTTGAGACTTTTAACCTGCTGCAAAGATGTTTTTCAGGAAATAAATCATGAGTTTGTGTTTGTGAAAACTGACAGTTCCAAACTAATTAAGCTTGTGATCATCTGTTTTTCGTAGTTGCTGATAAAGTATTAAGCAACTCACTTAAAAGGCTGTGAATGTTTTGCCTCTGATGTCATGGATGACAAAAAATCCCGACAGGATTTAGGTGTATACAAGTGAGCCGTTTAATGTCCATATTTTCACATGCCTTTAGAACAGATTTTTTGTCGATAATTGTGAAACAAAAGCAGCATAGTAACTATACTTTTAGTCTTGATGAACATCTGTTCCTAGCATCAGCGCAGAGATTTATTTTGGCAGGATCACTTTGTACCATTCATATCTAAAAACACTGAAAACATTCCCTTTAGAGAAGCAGATAGCCTTGTAGCTTCTCAGGTAACATTTTTTGCATCAGAAATTTAAAATCAAGAACCCATTGAGGAGTTTTTGTCATATCAAAATCAGATGGAATATATTTTTTGAAGATTTTCAAGTACTTTGTTTTGTGGAAGCTGGAAGTGCAGTATTCTTTATTTGTTTGCAATGAGACAAGACCAAAGTGAATGTCCCCTATCTTAAAAGCACTCCAATCTCAAGTTTTACTAAGTAGTTTATAGATATATGCAACTGTTAGTGACAATAAACTATTTGGAGTGTAATGGTACATATCTTCGTATCAAACATATCAGGTGGAGTCATGTTGACTGGAACTGAATGAATACACATAGTATATTCAGGTGCTGAATTAAGTGCGCAATTCATCACTCTGGAGAGGAACAAAATGATCAGAGCTGCATGTAAACATCACTGGTCATATCAAAACAGCTACAAAGAGATTTACAGCTGTTCTTAAATATGGGCATTCTTATTCACATATTTCAAATATTTTCAAGTGGTTAAATTGTTCAAGCACAACTTCATTCTTTGACTTTATTCTACGAAGAGAGCAATGCTAGCTTTGCTAAATGTTATTGCTGCCTACATTCAGAAAAACTTTATCAACTTCGAAGCTATTATTTCTGTCAGGTTTGCCCCCCCCCCCTTCCTGAAAAATACGAATCGTATGCATTTATGACAATAACGACACACATAGTGCATTCCAAATAGTCCTCGGACATATTATTAATATGCAGTCTAACAATGCAATGATGATATATTGTGCCGATGTTACTGAGAGCCAACATTGGTGCAAACATGAGGCTGCAAATACAGTTATTCAAACAGAGAAACAGCAGCAGTTGCTTTAAAAATAAATGACAGTTTTTGCACAATAATTTTTACTGCAAGTAAAATATCCAGAATGAAACTGAAATTAGATTTTTTTTTTTTTTACCGTCTTCGCTAATAAATCTGATCTAACTTCATGTAATCACTGACAGCTTCATTAAGGACGTGTTCAGAGTTGAAATATTAGCAACAATACCTACTTAACCGTTTTTAAAGGAGCGAGAGGTTGGTGAGAGAAAATTTGTGATCAGGCAGTATTGTGAACTATTACAAACACACCAGACAGCTCAAGGCTATAACTGTGAAGGACAAAAGGATTATGTTATAAAACAGCATCTCAGACTTTGAATATCTCATGACTTACTTATTGTCTACGCTCTCCCAACTAGACCCAGGTGGGCGGGAAAAAGACCAATGTCCTGCTTCCCAAGCTGACCCCTGACACAGAGTACTCAATTAGCGTTGCTGCAATTTACGCCACCGGAGTCAGCAGGGACCTTAATGGAATTGGAAAGACCAGTAAGTAATTTATCATTTTTTAGCTTGTATGAGCCAAAACATAGGGAAGTACTCCTGCTATACTAAATATTTTGGTTATCGTGTGAAAGAGCCTCTGGGTGGTGTTAGAAACTTGAGAGTAACAGACCCCACTACCAGCACATTGAACGTCCTGTGGGAGCCTGCTGAGGGAAGTGTGCGTCAGTACAGGATCTACTATGTCCCTGCAGCTGGAGGAAATGAAGAAATGGTAAGAAGGAATTAAAAATGACCACATGTTCTTAGAACATTTTCACCGCTTTTCAAAGCTTAGCGTGTTGTGTTTCTGTGTAGGTCCAAGTTCCAGGAAGCACCTACAACACGGTTCTAAAGAATCTGGATTCTGATACACTTTACACTGTATCTGTGGTTCCAGTTTATGCTACTGGAGAGGGACTTCGTTTGTCTGAGAACGGGAAAACATGTAAGTATGAAGCGAGAGTATAAATTTCATTTGGTCCAGATGTATAAAGCAGAAATGGTAATCGCCTTTAAAACAGCATGCAGTGTTTGGAAATGCTTGCATAATGCCAGTGGGATTGTATTCCTGATTCAGAAATCCATTCATGTATGTCCAGAGTGAACTCACTGGCCTCAATTTCTGGCCTGCTCATCCCAAATGTCCAGATTCTTCAATGAGTTTGCCAGCTTTAACTACTTTCATGGCTATCAAAGATTTCTTTGATAGCCAAAACCAGTCCATTCAAACTTAATTACTTTCTAAGGACACATAAAATTAACATTACTTGTTAAGGAGAACATATGGAATAGCAAAAAGATGAGAGGGTTCTGCTTGGTGAGAACTTTGACTAAGAGCAGAAATTTTCCAGTTTCTCCCACAGTTAAACCACCAAGCTATGCTGGGAATGAGTCAGCATTTTGTGGGGTGATTGCGTAGGAAAGCATTCCTCTGGCCTGGCAGTGTTATAAAGGGGTCTCCTCTGTCTTTACCGTAATAATAATAATTTATAGGCTGGAAGAAAGAATAGTGGTCAGGATAATGGAATGACCTAAGAATGGGGGAAGGATGTGTTGAGTGTATGGCCTTTCCTTTTAGGAAAAACTAACAAGGAATAAATGAAAGGATGGCATTATGCATTCTATGACTCTCAGTTCACTTGGCGTGGGTCATGCTCCATGCATGTCACTTTTACCCTGTTTTTCCCTCCTATAGTCGTGGCCCGTTGTAGTTTGTGGCTTTTTTTAGTGGTTTATGTTCAACCAAACCTCATGAATTAATGCATAAATGCAGAGTTAAATTACATGTATGGTATTTTGTTAATGAGTCTGTACTAAAACAGTACCTAAAGGATGAATTATTTTCTTTCCAGTTGCACAATCTCTATTGCATATTGTAAAAGAATCAGGAGATCTTTGTACATATTGCTGTTCAGATAAAGATTACAAGGATCATTGAGAACATTTAATGAAGAATAAAATCATTTATCAATAAAACAGATCTACTCAGTGAAAATTATGGAGAGCCAACGGTGACAAAAATTAAATAAATAGATGCATGAATAAATAATTAATTAAATGTATCATGAAATAATCAAATCTTAAATACATGTTTAAATTATTTATTTAATAGAAAATTAATTCATTAAATATATAATTAAATCAATGAAATAAAACTTAGTAGCCGGTTGAGCTAATTTACTAAATGCATCTTTAACTATTTTATAGTTCTTATTTCTTGCAGTATCCCCATGAAATAATTTCGAAGTTGCCCACAATAGTCAAGGGGCGGGGCTATGGGCGGGGATAACACTGGATCTGTTTAACTCGACTGGTTCTTGAAAATCAGATCGGACCTTCTATTGGAGAATTTTCATGATCTTTCTCTACAACTTTTCCTAATTTTACCAACTTTTGCATGGTGCTAGAATTCACTATCTGGCTTGATCCGATCCTGAACTTGTTTATTTGTTTGTTATGATCTCCGCTAGCCATTGCCGTGACAATGGCTAGTCTTCCTGGGGTTCACGTAAGAGATATTATGTGCAATGATTCCAATTATTTGAGTAAAACATTAACAGGAGATTATTGTTTGCGTTCTGCCTGTGTTTTCCAATAAATTTATACAGTTGTTAGAGGGTGCAGTGCAAAGACTAAAACATCTGCTTTAGGTTTGGGGAACTTAGGCTTCACACTGGGCTGTGCTTTTCATTAAACTTTAGGGCACTGACAGGAAGTGTCCCATTGATAGAGGTATGGTTATATAATGACTTAAACATGCCTCTCTTGGTTGCTTGGGATAATAGTTTCTATTTTATTGAAAAAAAATTGGATAGAACCTTCCTCCGGCTACGCATACATTTGGTATGGACCTTTGCTATAAAAACTCTGATGAAAAAGTGACAGCACTAGTCAGGAGATTCACAAAGAAGTCATTTGTTGTAAACACAAACAGCTAGTGCTCTCTTACCCTTGCATTTCCTACTTTATCTCTGTTTCTGCCTCAAACCATCTTGTGTCCCTCCAATGTTTATGGATCGGCAGTGGAGCGGAGTCCAGTCAGGAACATTAAGGTCTTCAACCCGACAACCAACACTTTGAATGTTCGCTGGGAGGCAGCCACAGGTCCAGTCCTACAGTACAGGGTGGTCTATTCTCCTCTGATTGGTACCAGGCCTTCTGAGTCAGTGAGTGTCAATCATCCATTCAGCAAATATGTATCATATTTCCTTTTTGTGTTCCAGAGATATTATGTTATTCATGCAATGCTTTAGATTAATACTGTTATTTAAGATTAATGGGCCAATGTGGGCCTCATCCAGTGGTTTTTGGACCAAAATCTTCTGTACACCATATGTTACATTATACTGTTATATTAAGTGGGTCTGTTTATCAGATGAATGCGAGAATTGTCCATGTGCATAATTACTGCCAGCTGAATTCTTTCCTGTGTCTACCTACTAAAACCTTAACATTAAACCTTTTTATTAAACCAGCAGTTCTTTAATTGTATTTCCTGCTGTCTACATAAAATGTGCCATATGTCATAAGCGCGACTACACCTTCATGTGAAAAGGATCTATAAACATTTTAACAACCAATCAGTTTTTTTTATTGAAAGCTTCCACCCTTCCTCAGTCTTTAAATTTTCAGTTGTTCATATTGTAATGACCTGATAGTCAATTAAAAACTGTATTCTTCATATTAGCACATTCATGAAATGCTAAGACCTTTTGCATGCCTAGCATCACTGATTTATATTAGATTAAATACACTTTATTGTCCCCATTTGCATTAAAAAAATACAGTAATATTACACTACAACACCCATGTTGCACACAGTATCATATAGCACCACAGTTTGTTTGGACTTATCTCAGATTATTAATTAGGCTGACACTAACGTGAATAAATGAAGATTTATACCATTTTGTGGTACATTTAATCATCAACAACCCGTAACTGCGATGAAGAGGGTGATTTGGGTCAGCATGGATAGCTTTAGCCTTCCTTGTTACTTTGCTAGAGATGTGGGAGCTCTAGCAGACTTATCCCCATCATTTTGCTGCACATCCTTACAACACTGTTTAGTCTGTGCTTATATATTTCAGGATATGTTGGTGGCAATGTGGCCTTTTATTGGCCAACTTCAAGTAAAACACCAGCTGGAGATTTATAGCTTTAATTATCTGCTTTACTGGTGTAATCCAGTGCATTCCTTGTACACTTATCCTTCCAGGATCCTCGCCAGATCAGATGTCAGAAGACTATAAGTGATACAATCAGAATTAAAGTTAAATGAAGGCAATTAATAGTATAGAGATAAGCGGAACAGCTGGTCCACCAGTCACTTTATTTTCTTCAACACCTGCAATCCCCATTGTTGCTTAAAAATGTGAATCATTTTATCATCAGGCCAGACCCCTTGAGGATCTCTGACCTTACTTTGTCTGGGTATTTGACCCAAACATAGATTGAAGAGAGTAGTTGTTTTTGAAGTCAGTAAAAATTGTCAGTCTGGGTTAAATAAATGCAGACCAAGCAATGTTTAAACAGAAGAGAAAGGTAGAAGAGCTGCACCACATCTGTGTGAAGGTACACAAATACTGAGTTGGACAAATGTTCGTCACATTTACCTGAAGGGAAAATTCTCAAAACATCCGCACCCCATTTGTTTTTTTTTTTTTTTTTGTTTTTTTTTGTTTTAGGTTTTTTTTTTTCACATATACCCTAATAGATGTTTTCTCTCTTTCATTCTTATATTAGCAGATGATTTTCCCCCTATATAATTCGTATCTCACAAATGGCACTAAACTTTGAGAATGTGACCCTCTTAGCTTTGATTGTAATGTACATTATTAAGCATTAATATGTCTGCTATTGACCTTCTGTTCAGTTTGAAAATGAGACAGACACATAAATTTTGAATTTGCATTCAAAATTCTAAATAATAAATAATAAAAAAAAAGAAAGAAAGAAAATCATGTTTGTTTTTTCTGATCAGATTTTGGTGCCAGGCACCACTACCACAGCTCTGCTGACACAGCTGCTCCCAAATACCGACTATAACGTTGGCGTTGTTGCCTTGTACAGCGATGGAGAAGGTCCTGCTGTTAGTGATGATGGAAAGACACGTAAGTCCCTGAGATCATCTGTTAAATGACAACATTTGCATGATGCAACAAATTTAAGGAGCGATTCTTTCAGCCTTCTTTCTATTTTGCTGCCAAGGATCTCCGGCTTCTTGTTATCATTTGAAGTGGACTTGGTTTCTTGAACATCTTAAAGTCATTTGGGCATTTGCTAAAAGACGCTACGAAAACCTCATAAAGTCTTAATAAAACACACTTTAAATAATTCCAAGAAAGTCTGATCCCTATAAAGAATGGCTTAGTGTTTGAAATGTTCACAACTCCTGACCCCCGCACCTTTCTACCGTCCTGTTTTGTATCCACAGTGCCCCGAGGTGGCCCAAGAAACATGCGTGTATATGACCCCACTACCACCACTCTTTCTGTTAGCTGGGAACATGCAGAGGGTCCTGTCATGCAATATCGCATCACCTACGCCCCGACTACAGGAGACCCTATTGAGGAATATGTGAGAATCTTACTTCTTTGTATTTTCCACTTTATTCTTTTGAAGTGAAATATATAGCTAAATACATAGCTGTGTATACTGAAGATTTGAATAACGAGAAGCTTTTTGTAATATAATATTGTCTTTTGTGCTGCAGACTTCAGTTCAAGGCAACAGAAACAATGTGATCCTCCAGAACTTGGATCCAGACACACCATACAACATTAAAGTGACTGCCATCTACGCTGACGGACCAGGGGGAGAGTTGGAAGGAAATGGACGCACAGGTACAGACTCCTTTGGGTTCCCATTCGCTTTATAAGAGTTAAAGTTATTATTGACCACTGTACACATCAAATCACTATTGAAACAGAAACAATTTGTGTGTTATCATGCAGTGTACCTTATCAAAACTTGATTGCGCAACCTTTCATAAGTGCCAGAAATGCCTAAAGGTCTTGTGGGAGACCGATAGGTGTTGCTCCACTTGCAGAGATTTAATACTTCTACTTCTGGTCATTCTATTGGCCAATTTCTCTTCTTAAACGACCAAGACATTATTGGTTATAATATAATTCCCTGCATGAAGCCACATTAATATAATAATTGAAGATTTATTTATTTAATGGAGCAGAACTTACCATAACATGTTGTAATACTTCCCTCATAACTCAAATGTCATAATGACCTTCAGACTATAGCACAGTAATTACATTGCTGATATATCATATGCTTATATACTTTGGAATTTGAGGCTTTTGCCCCTTAGTGAACTGTGTTGCCTCGTCTTGTTTCCTGCAGTGGGAATGCTGGGCCCCAGAAATCTCCGTGTTTCTGATGAGTGGTACACTCGCTTCAGGGTGTCATGGGACCCCGCTCCATCCAGGGTTAATGGGTACAAGATCATCTACCAGCCCGAGGGTACATATGAGCTTCCATATGGCAATTGTGGCGTTATGTTCTGGAGAAAATATGCACTTTATGGATACATATGTTCAACTTTTTGAAGCACAGTATTGCCGCGAGGCTTAATTGGTAAGGCGATTTTTCTTTTTAGGTACTAATGACGTCTTGGAAGCATTTGTTGGAGACGTGACATCACACCAATTACAAAACCTACAACCTGGAACCACTTATGACTTGAAGGTGCTGGCCCAGTACAACACAGGCTTCAGTGGACCTCTGATTGGTCAAGGAACGACATGTAGGTTGAAAAATCCAGTTATGAGTAACTGGATTTAAAACTGTAACACTTTATACTGGATGCTTATTGGGACAAAGGAAACGTATGTATTAATACTTGCTCTATTCCTTTTAGTGTATCTGAATGTGACTGGCTTATCCACTTACAATGTTGGATTTGAATCTTTCTGCCTCCGTTGGGCCCCTCACAGAGCAGCCACATCCTACAGACTGAAAGTCAATCCCTTTGACAGTAAGACTTTTGTTGCTTAATTTTGTATTTCATTGATCTTTTTAGTCAACACTGAGTATATTATCCTGTTTTCTTCCTCTCCTGTAGCTTCTAAGCGAGGAGCTCAGGAAGTCACAGTGCGAGGCTCAGAGAGCAGCTATTGTTTTGATGGTTTAAGCCCTGACACTCTTTACAATGCCACTGTGTACACCCAAACACCCAACCTAGAGGGACCTGGAGTCAGTGTCAAGGAGAGAACATGTAAGAAAGTGTCCGCTCTCCATGTTCTGTATTGATATGTGGAAATGCTGCTGGTTAAAACCACGAAAGTCAGATGGGAGAAACCAATAATTCACCCTAAAATATAATTTTCGGCTCTTTGCATGCGATTTGTCATTGCAGTGGTCAAACCCACCGAAGTGCCAACCGAGCCTCCCACTCCTCCTCCCCCAGCTTCAGTGCCGCCTGCTTTGGATGGTGAAAAAAGCTTTGAAATATATTTAACATGTAGCATTTTGTTGCTGCTTAGATTATATTAACACTATGTCATTCGGATCACAGTGTGCAAAGGTGCCAAAGCAGACCTGGTCTATTTGATTGACGGCTCCTGGAGTATCGGAGACGAGAGCTTCAACAAAGTCATCCAGTTCACCACAAAAATGACTGCAGCTTTCGATGTCATCAGCCCCAGAGGCATGCAGGTCAGTTGTTCTTGAATTTAGATTTAGCTGGAATAATTTATAATAAACTGTAGTAATGTTCATAAACTTAACCAGTCTGCTGACATGAAGGTCATAAGTTCATCCCTCATACGGAGCACCACTCCCTTTGGCTTTGACCACTATTAAGCTGATCAAGAATTAATCTTAGCATTAATATATTTACAAATATTTAATTAATGAAAAAGAAACAGTCTACGAGACAAATCTTTAGAGAAAGGAGGCAAAAGCCAATTCTACTTTTTACAAAACCAGCTATGAGCTAAAATGTCCTTGAACATTTATCAAAAGTTAACTCTCCGGGAGTTTAACTGCCTAACTTCTAAAGAAAAAAAAGCAGATGAAAAACAAAGTCCCAGATCTTGCTTTTCTACATTAATTTTGAACACCGGAACTACAGAGCAAATAAAAAGTGAAAACTGTGGCCTGGAATTAGGCTAATGGCTCCCTCACAGATCCAACTTGGCTCACTTGAGGTTACTTAAGTCCTGTTTCCATAGCTGGGATAACAGGGAACTCTCTGTACAAGTAGCTTTTATTCTGGATGGAAGGTCACTCAGACTGCATTGAGTTGGGTTTGGTGTAGTTTGGATGTCTTAGTGGTTTTTCCCTTTGGCTTGGAAAAAGAATTAGATGCAACAGAAAATGCTGTTATATAAAGATAATGGAGTGATGTTTACATGACTGAAGTCTGGAAGAAAGACAACCAAAAGTCAAAGTAGCAAAACTTACGATGTGAAAAACATTACCACTTTAAATAGCCAACTAAAATTTGATTTTCTTTTTTTTTTTTTTCAAACTGTAGACCTTAGCTTTATCATCAAATTGTTGTTGTAGATGCTACCTCATGGCCCAGGTTGGTTTTACCTTTAAGGTTTTAAACATGACATTAAAAATGGACAAGTACATGCCTGAGATTTGAATCTCTCAACTAGGAGAATATTTGACATACACTGACAGACCTTAATGCAGACAAAACTATTAAGACATAGTTGGATGTGACAGGTCAAATCTTTCACATAAAACATACACTTATGTGTACACTACATAATTGAAAAAAATATTTTTACTTAATGTTATTTTTCTGTATTCTATCATCAGCCTTAACCCATCTATTTTCATTTATTTTTTGTATAGGTTTCATTCGTGCAGTACAGCGATGACGCCAAGACTGAGTTCAAACTTAACACCTACCACGACAAGGGAATAGTTTTATCAGCTCTGCAGTCAGTTCGCTACAGAGGAGGCAACACCAAGACTGGTACTTCACTTCACTTAAAATTAAAAAGACAGTTTAACAAAGTAATTGTTTTGGATTGTTATGCATATATTGTTTTTTTTTTTTTTTTTTTTTTTTCTTAAGGTGTTTCTCTGAAGCATGTCTACGAGAAGGTGCTTACGTCAGACAGTGGCATGAGAAGAAACGTCCCGAAAGTGCTGGTAGTTGTCACAGATGGACGCTCCCAGGACGAAGTTAAGAAGAGTGCAGAGAGACTGCAGCACTCTGGTATGAAGTCATAATATCTGCTTGCTTTCACACTGTGCCTAAGAAACGTTTTTGAGTACAATTGTGAAGCTTTTTCTTTTCCACAACAGGGCTGTGGTTGAATATTTAATAAACTCAGAATAATGTGAGGCAAAAGTCAAGTCACCTGTGGGTTTTTGATGTACTTAAGAATAGCTTTTGTTTGTTTTTGTGTTTGTGTGTGTTATATAGGCTACAGTGTGTTCGTGGTTGGCGTAGCTGATGTTGACATGAGAGAACTGACGGTTATTGGCAGCAAGCCCACTGAGAGGCACGTGTTTGTCGTCGACGACTACGATGCTTTTGATAAAATCCAGGATAACCTGATCACCTTCATCTGTGAAACCGCCACATCAAGTAAGACAAATACTAACAAATCTGATATATTCCAACTGATTTATCAGTACATCTGCAGTGGAAGGTAATTCAGTGATGTGCACCGGGACGCTTCTTCGCAAATGGACAAAGCAATGAAAAACATATAGCAGTGAACAAAAATAGTGGCACCCATGGTAAATTTGTTAAAAAGTACTCTTTATTTGGTAAAAGTACAGAAAACATTTTCTTCTTCCAAGACCTAAATTATAAAGAAAACTTTACGGGTGAGCTGATGAGAAAAGAGGACAGCCCACACAGACTGTGCAAGAAGAACAGAACAAAGAATCAGCTCTGTTTGTGCAAGCGTCAACTTGGAAAAACTTATAAAAGGCTAAATGTTGTTCTACTGAAAAAAAAAAAAAAAAAAAAAAATTCTACATTGTGTTGACCACAAGGCTGCTAAAAAATTTTATTGCGCAAGAATTTTTTTCTAAAAATGGCATGTTTTTCTCTCCGATAAAATGTTCTCCAAATAATTTTGGCTTTTTCTGAAATTTACGGTGGCAATGTGCTTCTGCAGTACTGTAAGACTTGTACACATCTTTAACAGTGATGCCAATAAATGTGCCGACATCTGTAAGCAACACAGTGAACCCTAAGCAACACCTAATCTATTTTTCCAATGTCTTATAAACTCTTGTGATCTTGCAGCTTGCCCTCTAATCTACATCAATGGATACACCACACCTGGTAAGCGTTTAAATGCCACACCTTGCACATTAATCTGTGGAGCGCTTATAGACTTTACTAGACATTTTCTTTGTATTTTTCATCTTCTCATTGACGCTCTGTTTATTCTTTCTTTTCAGGCTTCAGAATGCTTGAAGCTTTCAACATAACAGACCGGACATTCGCCGGCATGAATGGTGTGTCCATGGAGACTGGTTCCTTTAACAGCTACATTGCCTACAGGCTGCACAAAGACTCTTACCTAACCCAACCCACCAAGTAAGAGTCTGAGCAAAATAATATTTGTGTGAAAATAAAGGGTGTGTAACTCTTGGATTGCGGTTTTTCCCAATGTAGCTGACCTTGTCTTTTTTTCTGTTATATAATCTATGATGCTCCTCAGCCCACAGCCATTTATAATGATGGTAGCTCATATCTGTACCTAGAGGGATGTCCAGAGTAGTTTCCAGCTCTAAGCCCACTCTTCTGCTTTTCTGTAAAATTTTGAACAAAAGATTTTAGTTACTACATGCCCTCTTCCCTTATCCTTACCCTGGAAGGAGAAAATAACCTTAAAGGGTCGCTGTTGAAACGGCATTAGGTATTTGCAGAAGTAAAGTACTATCTTTGCAATCAAGTGAAAAACTTTGAACTACATGAGACTAGAGAACATGGGAAAAAGTGTTTTGCAAGTTAGGCAAAGCCTGGGCGGAAATGATCATTTAAAGGTCTTTCGGCATGTTTAACAAAGAGGATTATATATGTTTGCAGATGGATTTTCATTTAATGTTGGCTTAGCAATGCAAACACAAGATGAGTACCATGACAGTAAATGTTTTTAACTCTTTAATAGGGAGATCCACCCAGATGGTCTTCCCCCATCTTACACCATCATCCTGCTCCTCCGCCTCTTGCCGGATACGCCCTCTGAACCTTTTGATATATGGCAGATTGCTGACAAAAACAACAACCCTGAGGTCGGAGTCACAATGAATCGTAAGTTTCCATCAGCCAGTCAGAAGGGAAAGTTGTGTGGCTGACTCAGTACTTTCAGTGCCCTGCAAGTGTATTCCCACCCTCTGAGCCTTGTCTGATATCTTCACATTAAAAACGAACTTCAATGTGTCTTATTGGGATTTACAATACTTTTTATTTTTTTTATTTTTTATTTTTTTTTGCAATATGAGTTCTAAAGATAATTTTACTGTATTTAGAGCTCTTCAAGTAAAAGGGACCAAATACATATGCAGGTTAGATTTTTTTTTTTTTTTTTAGATTTATTAAGGGAAATAACTAGTTCTCCCTTCCAATCTTCTCAGTTTTGTGATGCTTTGTGTTGGTTTATCACAGAAAATCCCACTAACGCACATTGTGCTTGTAACGTGACAAACTGTGGAAAAGATCAAGGGTTAAGAATCCAAGGCACTGTACAGATCTCTGGAGAGAATCTTAATCTTCTTGCCTTCTCTTTTATTTACAAAGCTGGGTGAGATAATGGCATTAATGGAAAATTCAGCTCATTGCCCTCAGAATAAATTAGGAATAGCCATCTCCACTGTAATTCTGTAATGAAAACCTTTCATTTGTAAATGAACATCTGCTGTAAGTTTGTGCTTCTGCCCTGGGAAGGAATGCAAAAACTGCATGTGAATATCACAGTCACCTGCATGTGTTCTCTATAATCCTGAGCGTTGCGTGCATCAGAGCATACTGTCAGCGATTTATCAAAGGCTCTTGTCTTTTCAGCTTCCACCCAAACTCTTACGTTCTACAACAAGGACACACGAGGAGAGATTCAGAGAGCTGTCTTTAATGAAGCGCAAGTGAAGCGAATTTTCCATGGCAGTTTCCACAAGGTAAACATACTGCATGGTTCTTAAAAACACAAGTGTCTGCTTGCACTTCATAGTGATAATTGTAAAAACAAAAAAAACAAAAAAAAGAAGAGTTTTTCCAGTAATTTGGGGCATCTTAAAGTATTTGAATTAAATTCTTTCCCTTTCACATTTAGTTTTTTTGACATGCTTTTATGTGTGCTTGTGTTGCTCTCATTAAATCTTCCTGAGATAGCCCTTATTGTGAGCTTCGTTGCAGTGGAGCAGTTTCAAATTACCGATCAAAAGAACTCTCCTTTCAGTCTTAGTGTTATCTTACTGTTGGGATTTTTGAGGTCCCCCTTTCTCACGAGTTGACATTTGAGCTTTGTTTTATTTAGACCAGGCACTTAATTTGATAAATGAGCTTCAGAGGCCATAAATAAGCTTAAATGCTGTTGGTGGGAGTGAAAGTCTGATGCCTTTGTGGTCGGGTGTAATGTGCAAAATGTCTGGTTCAGGACTTGATTTTCCAACCAGTCGCAGAGCCAAAGAGTAAATGATATTCTACTACAAACATTCAGCTTTTAGTACAGTGAAATTAAAATGAGCAAAAGATTACATAGAGACAGCTTCAAAGATGAAAATTATGTTCTTGGTGTACTTAAATCTGACTCATAGCATCTGATGTATGTTGTTGAGGGGTTTTAGCTGTATGGCAACAGATTTAGGAGATTATGAGACTTTGATTAAACAGCTTCTTTCAGCATAGTAGATCATGAAGTACTATGCTGAAGATCTACATAGGTTTTTGTAAATAAGATCTACACTATTCCAGCTGCAGTATCTGTCAAAAGCGCGCCTCAAACTCAAAATGTCAAACCTCACAGTGGTGGTATTGGTTTCTTTCCAGCATATAAATCTAAATATTAGATCCTTATGCTTGACTCTTCTTAAAAGTATTGCAATATGGTTTCTCAAAAGACGCAAACAAAGACATCAAGAATCTCCATGAGAAATACAAAACAGTTCTTGTCATGTATTAGCACTGTGGGATGTGGAAAGCAGAACAATAGAATGCAGTATGCTGTCCTGCTGACTTGGATAGATTTAACTACAACCATCCGAGTTAAGTCAAACTGCATTTAAAGTTCCCTCACACAGACAATTAGTCCCTTTTTATCTGTGATATAGATTCCTTTTTTCCTCCAACAGCAAGGTTATCATAATTAGTGACCCCTCTTTTATGAGCAAGAGTCTTATCCAACATCAAAGTTCACTCGAGAGATGTGCTGGCCCGAACATCAGAGGACACTAAATAGTTTTGCAGGTCAACCATTCGACAACTACGCAACTAATTGTGAGCTAGCTTCATGAATGAATGGCTCTTTGGAAAACGCTGGCTCAGCAGTTGATGAAAATTAAACGTTTCTTCGCTTGTCTGGTTGGAAGGCAGACTAATCTCTGAACGTACGTGTGTGTGTTTCGGTTCTCTCAGCTTGTGGCCGTTGTGAAGGCTGTTGTCTGATTGTGCACCGGGTGGCTATTTGGTGGTGAAGTGTTGCCATTCCATGAGCTGGCGAGTCCGCAGTGGTCTACCTAGCTGCTTATTTGTTGGTCTGCAAAGTAAGTGCTGGCGCTGCCTGCGGTGGTGGTTTGAGTTTACATGTTGTCAGTGGTTTTTTGAAACATTTTGTCCCTTTTTGGTTGACCTCAAAGAGTGTGTGCTTTTGGCATCCGAGCTGAAATCTCACCAACAGTGATCAGCCTTTTCAGCCCTTTGTTGGTTTTGACTAAAAGTACTTGGTTTTGCACATCAAGTTCCCTGAGTAGTATTTTTTTTTTATTCAATCTTTATTCATCATAACATCAATGGTACATATAGATCGGAGATTGTTGTTGAAGATGCTACATAGCAATGGTCCTAAAAATGACCCCTGTTGCTCTCCCACACTTTGCTGATGTGATCCTCACGTTACACAAAGTTCAAGCCAAGTATAGAGGAAATTCAAGATGTTCTTATTTTCCTTCTCCTTTGCATGCACAAACAGAAATCTGAAACTTCCTTTTAAAAAGATAAGATAATAATGCGAACTTTGGGTTTCAGGATTAGTCGCAGCATAGTTTTAATGTCAGTGTAAATGAGAATCATCTCTCAGTGTTTATTGTGTTTCACTCCAGAAAATACAAACTTGTGTTTTCATAGAGAAATAAAATTGTTCGTGTATAAATGAAATTAAAACACTGTCTTTCAAGGTTTGGGATTTTGGAAGATGACAGAACAGGGAAGAGGGAGCCAGGAAAAATAAAACTCTATCTGCTGGGAATCATGCATAGATGTTTAATCAGTTAAAGCAGAGCTGGAGTCAACATGCAGAGAGCTGAAGCAACAAAACAAATTGTTAGCAATTCATTAAGATGACCAATTTGTCAAGGCTTTCTTGCATTGGAACCATCTCACAACTCAGTCGAGGGAGCTTTGAATCCTCCCAGGATAGTTTTTCGCTACATTTACTTTTTATTGATTTCAGTATTTTCATAGGTTTGGGGAACCCTGAAGGGCATCACGGTTCACATTTATGCCAGGACCCTGGAATAAATAGCACCTCTTTCCCCTTTGTGGTCCACCAAATAGTTTGATCTGCTTCCAAGGAAGTAGACTGTAATTTTGTGAATAGTTGCCAGGAACTATGGTCTGGTTTGTGGTTGATATAGCTTTGTGGAGAGAAATGGTAGCAAGCTTTTTCCTGACATAAAGAGATCTTGTTTGACTTTAGAGTGGGGGAAAATGTGCAACTGCAAAGAGAAAAGTATGGAAAGTGTAGGACTTCTGATGGCGAGCCGCAGAAGATATTGTTTCAAGATGTGCGGATCGGGCCTCTATGCACAGGAAATCTAAGAATTTGGCACTTTTATCGCTCAGTCGTTATATAATAACAGACCACAGATGAATAGTTAGCCTTTGCATATATTTTTAAGGTCTAGATGCATCAAGTTTTTTGCTATATCAAAAAGGTTTTCTGGGTAATTTCATCTGTGCTTAACAAGGTGTTTTATAGACTTAAGACTTCTGAACTCCCCAAATTAAGCGGAATACAGTACTTATTGTTCTGTTTTTGAGAACAAGCACATCTCTTCAAAAATATAAATGAGTCCCAGCACCATCTTTTTAAATTTCCAATGCACAGATTTATTGTGCATGAATAAATTGGGTACAGGTGGTGTTCCAATAAGACAAGGATGTTTTGTTAAAAGCTTCCCCCTCTCTATTGTCTGTCTCTTCTAGATTCACATTACCATCTCACCAGAAAAAGTCAAACTCACTGTGGACTGCCAAGAGGTGGCAGAGAAACCCATCAAGGAGGCCAACAACATTACGCTGGAGGGCTACGAAGTGCTTGGCAAGATGGTCAAGTCTTCAGGTTCAAAGAAGACCTCAGCAACAGTAAGAGCAAAACAAGCCAAGCTTGTTAAAATGCAAAAGTGACATCTGGAAGAGGATCTAGCAGCGTTCAAAACAATGAACATCTCAAATCTGTAGTGCATTAATGCTTCAGCTAAATGTTAACTATTCCCAGGGTTGGCTGTTGAAAGAATGAAAGTCTGCAAGCCTCCATTTCTCCCTGGATCCTATTGTATTTCTTTTTTTTTTTTAACTCTGTACTTTTTTTTTTATTAGGAATGGGAATTATTTGAAACAGCCTTCAATGTATTCTCCCTCATCTTGTATCTTGTAGTTCCAGCTCCAGATGTTCGATATTGTCTGCAGCTTGAGCTGGATTAGCCGAGACAAATGCTGCGAGCTGCCAGCCACAGTAAGTGTCATTTTAGACTTCCAAACAATTCAAAATAGGAATGGGATAGATATTGACATATTACAGTTTCTCACATTGTTTGTGAAATAACGGTCTTGCGTCTAGGAATGTTGGTTGATTTTATAGTTCATCAGTGAATAAATAGGCAAAGAGAGAGGAAGGAAGATATGCAGCAAAGGCTCCAAGTTTGGACATTGAACCCTGGATGAGGACTCATGATCGATACATATGGGGTGCTTGCTCTACAAATACGCTAAATGTGTTGAAACGAAGACAAAAACGAAAAGGACAACCGTGTTTACATTTCAGGTTGTCATTAGCATCTTTAATTAGCCTCGCAGACCTCATTTCTAAAACAGCAGATCCTCTGTCACCTCGAGATTGTCGATCAACAACGCTGAGATTTCTGAAAAATCTACCGACATTTCTAATTCCAGCAAGTTATATGATGGGCAATCTGAAAAATACACCACACAATTTCTTGTTCTATGGCAAAAAACAGCTGTTTAGAGAGAGAGAGAGAGAGAAAAAAAAACATCTCAAATTGTCTGGAAAGAACTTAGTATCCTGGGTAATTTTGATAATTTGACTATATGAAGCATGAGTCCCAATTGCATAAAAAGAACTCCTTCCTTTGGCTCACGTAGCAGACAGTAAAAAGATTCATTTATGTTCTGTGGGAAATACATGATACTTGCACTTTTAGCCAATTACAAGCAATTTATGTGTAATTTTCTCCAGATATGAACACATCACATCAATGATTGGAGTTGTAATTCGTTATGCTTAAAGGCAACAATGCAGAAATGTGAAATGAATCTGCAGCTGCAGCATTTTGGACTTAAAGCCCTATTTTCTGTGTCACACTTTCAACATTAATCTATTCTTGCCTTTTATGGGTTACAAAACTGTCTCGTCTTTTATAAATCCCTAGCAAAGCAAAAGACAGAGATTTCCAGGATAAGATCATGAAATCAATTTCCTCTGTTTTAGATTGCCAGGAAATGTCTTCAGGTGTAAGAGTTTAAAAGGGAAAATAATAAAACTAAAGCGAGCATGTATGTTACATTTTTATCTCTGCATCTTCTTTCCCTCCAGCGAGATGAGGCCAAGTGTCCTTCCCTTCCCCACTCCTGTACTTGCACACAGGACAGTATCGGGCCCCAGGGGCCTCCTGGACCTTCGGTAAACCTCGCTATCACTGCTTTTTGTCTGTCCTCGCCTGATAAAATTGTTTTCTCAGAGGTCTTAGATGTTTTGAAGATAATGATAAAGCCATACTGTTTTCCACTTGGGTTGCACGTTCTTTGCACAGTTTGAACTTCATGCAGCCGAGAATGTTTCTTGCAAAATCCTTTTTTCTTTTTTTTTTTTCTCCAAATGGAGAAAGCAGCACAAAGAATGAAGCTAACGTCTTGCAAAGAAATGAGTGCTTAGGGATGAGTGTCAAGAGATAAATGTTTCATGATAAAACAACAGTCTGCAATATGTGTACTCAGTAAACTCACTTAGGCCCTGCTAGGAACTCCTATTGCCTGGGGTTTAAGGTTTTCAGAATTTGCTTCTGTTGTTATGCTTAGCCTGTGTTTCTGCGTCTTCACTTTTTTCAGGGCAGTCCAGGTACTAAAGGACCTCGAGGAGATAGAGGAACACCTGGGAACCCTGTGAGTTCAAATTTAAATCACTCAAGGCATGCTGAAAATTGTTACTAGTGAATACCATTATTGTGTCCTGTACCACTGCTGTTTGTTTTTACACACGCTTGGGCAAAAGTTGTACTACCTCTTGAACTTCTTTACGGCCATCTAATTAGTAAATAAAAACCACCTGTGAGCAAACAGCATCGTTTAGATCAACACACACAGCAGACATGTCAGGAATGAAGTTGTGGAAAAATTTAAAGCAGGGTTAGGCCAATAAACGATAACCCATTCAGCCAAGGGGCACCTGGTGGGTCTGCAGGAGCTGCGAAATCTGTCAACAAGGACTGCTGTGCATTCCACAAATCTGGCCTTTTCAGAAAAGTAAAGCTGCACAGTATATTGCTAATAAATCATCGTCTAAATATCAGGGTGTGCAAAGTGTTTATCTAACCATTTGTGAAATTTAAACACTCAACACCATTTATGGTGTTTGTTAACCCAGATACCTGTGCTCACATCAGCCTCGCTGCACGCTCATATTAACGGTACAAATACAAACCCATACCCACATAAGTACATGTTATGTGCAAAACTGTGGGGAAACTGAGTGTACTTAACGGTGTCATTAAGAAAAATGTGGATGTGAAAACACCCACATCCCTTATCTGAATCAGAATCAGAATGATTTTATTGTTATTGTACCAAAGCACAACAAAATGAATTGCCCTTTATTGAGGTGCGAAGCCTATGGTTAGAATGGCCTGTGCCAGAATTTTGATGGGACTTGTGTGCATGACTTAGAAATCCCTCTTTCAGATTCTGTTTGTTGAATCTGATTGAGCTTCCGCTATAATATTTTAAAAAGCAAGGATGGGCCGTTTCTAGATGCGTAAAGCTTGTAGATACATGCTGCAAAACACTTGCAGCTGTAATAACAGTAAAAGGTGGTCTTAGAAAGAATTCAATTCTGGGACTTAGTACACTTCCATCTTATAGTCAAAATAATGGATAATTTTCCTTTTAATTTATAATTATGCACTATTTTCTATTGGTCTATCACATATAATTACAATAAAATCCTTTGCAGTTTATGATCATATCATGACAGAATGGATAAAATCTCGTATTTTATGCATCTTGTATTCAGAAAATGCATAAATCTTGTATTCTAGATTTACAACAGTTGTAAATCTAGAATATCAGCAGTGGTTAGATAACAAAGTAAACTATTCCAGAGGTCTGCCTCTTAAAGTTTAATTTCTCCTCTTCATAGAAATTGCACACATCTGAAAACAGTTAAATGCATATTTCCCCACAGTAAACTTCAAGGAGGCCCACGTCAAATATTTTGAAGGTCCATTTCCCAGAACTGTCATTGTTAAACAACGAATCATCTGTCAGCACAGTGTCGGGCATAATTGAGTTTGACTTTAACCTTCTTTCCAAATATTGTGATTTTCTACCACCTTGCTGATGATGTGTGTATTGCCGCAGGGTCCAATGGGTCCCCGTGGTGAGTCAGGACTCCCAGGTACGATGGGGCCGCCAGGTCCACAAGGCCCTGCAGGACTTTCTCGGCCTGGAGAACCTGTAAGTTAATTTTCATCGACAAATCCTTTTTTGCAATGAACTGTGTTTTGTTAATTGTAACATTTGCATTCTCTGCCTACCTTCTGATTGATGAAGAATGCCTGATCCAACCTTTACTGCAATTCTGCACTTAGTGGGATTTATAACTGGCGTCAAAATACATCTCCCTCCCCTCTTCTGCCTTCCAGACATCCAGAGAGCGCTGTTATTTTCTTTACTGATCCTATTAAAAATATCCCATCAATCACAAACATGGAACAAATGAATGGGTAAAGTAAAGTCTGCAATCCTTTCTTTTTCCTCTTCCTATGTTTGCAGGGTCGCCCAGGACCTAAGGGAGATCGTGGAGATCCAGGCATTACTGGTTTGCAAGTAAGAACCTTTTACTCATTTGTGGTTTATGATCAGGAAACTAGAAACTATCCACAGGGAGCAGCATTTACACTGGAATGTGAATTTAGTCCAATAATCAAGATGATTCAGGAGCTTTGTCATGCCAACCCTAAGGGAGACCAAACTCTTAATTCGGTCCTCTTGAGTGACAAACTGTAAAAGAACAGCAATGCCTTAAATTGATATAAGGTATAGATGTTATTTGTTTCTCCAGACAATAAAAGATCTGTGTAACTGAAGCAGAATGGGATTTAGAAAGGCTTAAAGTGACCTCTAGGTGTTTGAGCAAGTAACCAAAGTTCATAGAGGCTCTTTACATTTCTGTTACTTATGTCAGCAGTCAAGTTTGAGCCGTTTACCATGGAGCAAAAATCATGTGGCGAAAGGGTGATTTTATCCAGCTGATGTCATTCATTCAACTCCCACCATTGAGCTGGTGAGGAAATTACCACTGCTTGGGCTTGAAATAAGAAAGTATGGGAGAAAAGCCCACCCTGTAATGTTCAGAGTCTATTGGCAGCAGCGCATCTTTGCAATTTGACCTAATGTGGCCTGTTGTAGAAGAACAACGATCATATGAGACACAGGAGACATTTTAGAGTTTCTTCAAGCAAAACAATGTGTTATCTTTGGCTAAATATGTACGAAAGAAGTGCATTTTCAGCATATTAAAAGCCTTTATACGCACTAGGAGGGCTACATAAATGGACACAGTTTTTGGTGATTTGTTTATGGTAAAGTATGTGTGTTTTTTTCCCAGGGTCCTCCTGGGCCACGCGGTCCTCTGGGCCCTGTTGGACCAAGCGGAGCTCGGGTAAGAATTCCATCCTAGCATGGAGTACGTATAGAGTCAAAAGCCCTTAAAATGAATCAAGCTCTTTAACATCATGCCTTATATGGTGTCGTGAGTAAGCTGTTGGTGTTTAACTGTATTCACATGTACTTAAGCCTGTAAAGGTGTTACACCTTAAGTTAAAAAGGCACCCCTAAGGCAAAAAAAAAGCCCCTTAGATTATGGCAATGATATATTAAACTGCCATACTCCCCAAGGAGCTGTAACTCACATGTGACTGCGTGTTGTTTCTTTTAAAGGGGCCACCAGGAAAAGAGGGGCCATCTGGACCCAGAGGCCCACCCGGACCCATGGTGAGTATCTATAGGTACCAAATAAATAATGCTTAGTCCTTTATTTTACTGATATTGTATATCTGCAAAAAACAACAAAAAAAAAAAAAACGGCTCCTCTGGCTCCACAGTTCCACGCTGCTGGAACAGCACATAAAAACCAGACTGGCTCCCCAACTTTTGCGAGAATGATGCATGCATCTCTCATTTTCCCTTTTGCGGTGGTCTGAATCTGCTTAATCCAGCCATCATGTTAACAGAGCGCACATGGTCTATAGCATCCAGAGTGCCACAAGAGTCATTAGCATGATGGCTGGTCTACATGCACTTCCATGTACTCCGCTGTTCTTGGCAGCTGATTTTCCCCCACTGCAGATGTCAGAGCACAAATCCCAACTTGACGCTTGTTATACAACTGTTAACTGGGAGCCGGAGCAAAATGTTGCGCTACGATTTACTAAGAAAGATTTCAAATATATTTATTTTTTTAGGGAAGTCCTGGAAATCCAGGTATACCAGGGATCACTGGAAAACCAGGCAAACCAGGAGACCCAGGAAGCCCAGTATGTACCGACTACTTAAATAAAAAATATATGATGAAAGAAAATGTTTTATGCTTGACTTGACTTAGTTGTTGTTTTTGAAAGGGACCTGTTGGCCTTAAAGGAGAAAAGGGAGAGAAGGTAGGTTGTATCTAAATGCAAGTTTTACACATTTCTGCGTCAAGAAAAGGGACTCTTGTCTTCATTAAGCTGTCTTTGATTTCCAGGGAGACTTTGCATCCCAGAACATGATGCGTTCCATTGCCAGACAAGTTTGTGAACAGCTTGTGAACAGTGAGCAAAAACATCTCCTGAGCTTCTGCCAGTTTAATAGTCCTTGACAAGTTCTACTTGATGAAATCCATCTGAATTTTGCAGGCCAGATGAGCAGAATTGATGTGCTGCTCAACCAGATTCCCTCCGGATATCGCAGCAACACTCCTGGGCCTCCAGGCCTTCCCGGGCTTCCAGGTGAGCGTGGATCCCGAGGAGAGCCCGGACAACCTGGAAGATCTGGATTCCCTGGAACTCCAGGATTGCCTGGAAATCAAGGAGAAAGAGGTACTTTTCAGAAGTCATGAGGATATATTGACTGTTTGTAATAATTTTAATGTTGAGCAACAAAAAGGACCCAAAATACATTTCCTTAATCTGTATAACCACATCATGATGCTGCCACCATCATGTTTCATGCTGGGCAACGGTGTGTTAAGGGTGTTAGAGTTTAATTCCTTTTCTTCATTTTTCTTTTTCTTTTTTTTTTGCAGGTTTACCAGGAGAAAAAGGGGAGAGAGGAGCCCCTGGAAACGATATTAGAGGACAAAGAGGCCCAGCTGGACCACCGGGTAATACAGCTAATGTTATTTTGATATTTTCTAAAGAAGGAAATCAACTTAAATATCAAATTACAACAGGTCCAAGGTCACCAAACGTTTGTGTTCTTTTTTTTTTTTTTTTTTTTTTTTTTTTTTTCCCCGGGAAAAACTTCCCCAGGTACAGAAATAAAAAATTCCTTTTTTTTTTTTTTTTTGG